TCTGTGGGCTTTGTCTGCTTTGACCTTAGTGATTTCTTCCAGGCCTGGATCACAAGCACTTTCTATTCCAAGACCATTAACCCCTACACTCGATAGGCTTGTTGCATCTTTTATTTTGGGGGGCTGAATAGACATTTTAACTACTGTCTTTCCTCTACATCTCTGGTACTTAGTTAGGAATCTTGACTTTCTTGGGTTCTGCAGACAGATTTTTTAAAACAAATTTATTTATTTTATATATGTGTATTATATCTGCACTATGCCTGCAGGTCAGAAAGGGCATCAAATCCCATTGTAGATGGTTGTTAGCCACCATGTGATTGCTGGGAGTTGAACTCAAGAACTCTAGAAGAGCAGCTAGTGCTCTTAACCTCTGAACCATCTCTCCAGCCCTGCCAGCCCACATGTTTACTTTATTCTTCGCGGCTATCAACACGGTTCTTTGAAAGTTGCTGCTCATACATATTGTTGTTTGTCCTTCAGAATTTAAAAACAAGGGCTGAGGATATATCATTTGGCAGAGTATTTCTCTAGCATTTGTAGAGGCTCTAGTTGATGCCCAATAACTCCACAAAGTGAATGGGTGTAAGCAGGAGGATCAAAAGCTGTCCTTGGCTACATAACGAGTTTAAGGCCAGCCTGGGTTAGAGACCCTATCCATAAAAACAAAACAAGAATTTAAAAATACCTCAAATCTAAGACTGTTCTGCTAATGGTCACCTTTCTTTATTGTGGGTTTATGTGTCTTCCACTTGTGTTAAGTTTAGCAAAGTAGGCTAAACTTCATTTCTCAGAATTCCTTTCTATATGTTTCTGATTGCTTTGGTCCATGGGAGATTTTTATATCTTGTGTGAGACTTACAGCTGAACAACCAAAAACACTCTAATCTTTTCCCTCAAAAGAGGTGTTCACTTCTTGCTGATTGCATTCTTTAATACTCTGGAGCTTTACTATTAGTATATAAAGCTTATTGCTAAAACATCTATTAGATGACAGAAAAGAAAACAAAGGAACCAACAATATTTGGTTAATACCTTTGCATATTAAACTAAGAAATACTCATAACTCTTAGAGTTTTAAAATATGTTTTATGTTTAAATTATGCAAATGGTTATGTGTACATGAGATCAAAGAATATCCTGGAGCTCGGGGGATAGGCATTTGTGAGTTGTGGATATGTGTTCTGCAAACGAACTCAGGTCCTCTGCAAGAGCAGTACTTGCTTTTTAACTACTGAGCCATCTTTCCAGCCCCTAGAATTCTTACTTCTACAGCTGGTTATGTAGATATAGGTGACCCTTATGCCTAGCTTCTCTTGGCTGCCATTCCATATCCCCTTTATTCTCAGCAGACACTTCAGCTGATCCTGGTTCCTTGTTGACTCACAGAGAGAGGGTCAAGGCTTCTATCCTTTATTATTGTTACTATTATTATTATATTTTTATTTACATGTATGTCTGTGGAGGTCAAAAAAAGGATTCCTTGGAACTAAAAATTACAGGTGTCTATGAGTCACCCGCAGAGGTCAGAAGAAATTGTCAGATCCCCTGAAACTGGAGTTATGGTTAGTTGTGAGCTACCATGTGGGTGCTGGGATTTGAACCAAGGTCCTCTGCAAGAGCGCTGTCACTCTTAATTAACTGTTCAGCCTGTTTTATCTTGTGGGTGTGTCTTTGTATGATGTGTGACATGTACATTGGTACACATGTTTGGGTGTGTATGTGGAAGCTAGAGATTAACATTGGTGTCTTCCGTTCATAGTCTGTATTTACAAGACAGGATCTCTTGCTGAACCCAGAGCTGGATAATCTGGCTAAGTTAGCTAACTAGTTTGTCTCAGAGATCCCTAACTACCTTCTGAGCACACACAGACTGCCACATCCACTCATCTTTTTTTGTTTGTCTGTTTGTTTATATTTTATGTGTATTAGTGTTTGCCTACATAAATATTTGTGGACTATGGCTTGCCTATTACCTTCAGAGGTCAGAGGAAAATGTCAGATCCCCTGTATCTGGTGTTATGGGTAGTTGTGAGCTACCATGGGTACTGGGACTTGAACCCAGGTCCTCTACAAGGGCAAGTGCTAAACCACTGAGCCAGTGCTCCAGTTCCCCATCCAGTTTTTATGTGGGTCCTAGAACTCTGAGTTGTCTCTACAGCCCCTCCATTGACTTTAATCATGGAGCACAGAAGTAGTCAGAGCTATCTTGAAGAATCTTTTGCATTTCAGACTTAGTCTTTACCTCATGTGGTCCAGTGTCCTCCCAAAAGTTAGGATTGGCTGAATGTAGTGGTGCACACCTGTAGTCCCCAAATTTACACAAAGTAGGAGGATCAAGGCTTCTAAGGCCAGCTCAGGCTCATGATAAAACCCTATCTCAAACAAACAAACAAATCGGATCAGTTACTCCCAACCAGTACAGTACCCTCCATTTTTGTTAATTCAGAACCTCAAAGTAAAGTTGTGATCTCAGCTTCTATTTTGTAGAATTGGTGTTGGCTCCCTGCCATAAAAGTAGTTTCCCCGTTGGGAGCTAAATATTTTGCTGAAATTAATTTTATTCTTCTTCATTGGTTTCCCATATAATGAATCAAAAATTCTTTATTAAAAGCATGAAAAATGTCACCTGTCCCTTAGACACCACAACCAGAAACTTTGCTGTCATCCTAAATGCCGTGCTTGTGTGTGTGTGAGTGTACGTACGTGTGTGTGTGGGGGGGGGAGGGGCTTCACTCATAGTTACCATTGGATGCATACAAGCCCACAAGCCATGGGATGGACTCCTTGCTAGGCTTTCTGTTCATTCTGCTGATACTTCCCTTTGCTATGCAGCTTTGTAATCTCATATAATCCTATTTGTTAGTTTGAGAATTATATATTGTTGCAATCCCTCCTTAATATTTATGTGCTTATGCGTATGTATATGCTCTATGTGTATGTAGGAGCCCTTGGAGGTCAGAAGAGGAATTGCAGATACCCAACATAAGGGTGCTGAGAACTGAACTGGGCCCCATGTAAGGGCAGTAAGCACTCCTAACCACGGAACCATCTCTCTAGCCCCCATAAATGCTTCCTTTATCACACTTACTTAATTCCCACTGGCTACAGAAGGCTGCTAGTTCTAACTTACATCACTCACTTGATCTCTGTTTTTACAGTTTCTTATCAGTTATTATGTTGGTGTCACCTTCATTACCTAAATTGTTGGTCATGAGTTCTAGGCCAGCTGGGCCAACATCTAGGCCCTATCTCAAACAAACAAACAAGATCAATTACTTTGTAAACTTTTTTCCTCTTCATCTTTTTTTATTGAATCTTTTAAAAGTTGGACTGTACTTAGTGACTCTAAAGCAGTTATAAAATTATTCTAAACTGTATTAACCAGTTGAATTAATTAACCAATCTTACAGAGATCCAAAGGCAAAAGTCTTTAACAGGTTAGAAACTCTTTCTCTCTCAAAATTTATACAATTGCTTAGAAACTTGGATTTCTTATTATTCACCATTTCTTTGTGCATTGCCCTTATTTACATACTGCAGTATGGTTGTTTGGAAGCAGCATAAAAAGAGAAAATGTGAAGGGGGGGTAAGCCCTAACATATACAGGGACTACCCAGAAGGATGTGTCCTGTAATCCTTTTGGTAGAGCTTGTTGTGAGTTCTAGCTACCAGAGAGGTTGAGGCATAGTCTACAGTAATACTCAAAGTGGGGAGGCTGGATTAGAGTTGGAGAAGAGGGGTGAGTATTGGATTTCATCAGTAGTACCTACCATATAAGGCAAATGAAGAAAGTCTTCTAGAGAGTGACAGTCACCTACCTCTTTACCTTATTCCTCAGTGTGCTCTCTTTGTACTCTTTTTTTTTCCCAACTCCCCTCCGTTTCAGCTACACTAAGCCATTTACAAATGTGGTATGTGCTTCTTTGCCTCTTTCCCTCTGGTATTGCTTTCTTAGTCTGAGGTACCCTTGCCATCCTGTCAGAATCTGTCTTTCAAGTCGCAAGCGAAGCATTTCTGCCCTATAAACCATTTATAGGGTGGTGCACCTCTCACCTGGATAATGCTGACCATTCTCTGCCTGTTGGCTTTTTATCGGATGACACTTTATTTACACTTACTATTTTTTATTTGATTGTAGATTCTGAGGGCCCTGATGACATTTTATTATTTCCTTTAAAAAAAAAGATTTATTTATTTAATGTACATGTGGGATTTTGCCTGCGTGTATGCCTGTTATAAGGGTGTCAGAAACCATGGAACTTGAGTTACAGACAGTTGTGAGCTGCCACATGGGTGCTGGGAATTGAACTCAAGTCCTTTGGAAGAACAGCCAGTGCTTTTAACTGCTTGAGCCATCTCTCCAGCCCCCGCATTTTATTATTTCTTATGTGTAATATACTGCCTGTTGGAAGGAATGTTTCTTTAATTATTGAATGGTCCATAGCCATCAAATTTCTGTCTCAACTCTGAAAAACTTTAGAGAACACTTTTAAAATATGGTGCATGAGTGTATGCATGTGTGCGTGTGTGTTGGATGTATGTGTGAGACATTTGTTAGTCAAGATTTTTAGATCTTGTTCCAACAATATTTAATTATATTGTATTTTCCTGCTAATTGTTCCATACTTGGTTTTTAGTTATAATATTTAACCCTAAAAGTACTCACAATTATGGAATCTTTTTTCTGTTAAAAAGGAGTGGACTATTCCATGTGCTAAAGCACAATACAAATTGCTTTTTAACATTCCATCAGATCAGTAACTTGCTGCAGATTGTTTGAAGTGGGTTGATAATGCTGGCATGCTTTCTAAATCTAGACCTAAAATCTTCCAGGCACTGCTGCCTTAACGTTGAGTTTCTGATAGGTGACATGGGATTTGCTAATGACGGAGTCACTGTTACAAAGTCTGAGGCAAGAGTGCCTTAAATAATCTTACATGGAGAATTTCCTTTTCCTGCTTTACTGTCTTGAGTAATATCTTTTGTTTTACTTGTAGATTTGATGGTCCTCGAAGATTTGAGGATTTAGGGTCAAGGTGTGAAGGACCGAGACCCAAAGGGCCTCGTTTTGAAGGAAATCGCCCCGATGGGCCAAGACCCAGATATGAAAGTCACCCAGCAGAGGGCACTAAAAGCAAATGGGGAACAATCCCCCGGGGTCCAGCATCTCAATTTTATATAACTCCCAGTACATCCCTAAGTCCTCGACAAAGTGGACCACAGTGGAAAGGCCCCAAAGCAACTGTTGGACAGCAGCATCAGCAGCAACCTAAGTCACAAGCAGAGCCTCTTTCAGGAAACAAAGAACCATTAGCAGACACAAGTAGTAACCAGAAGAATTTTAAAATGCAATCAGCTGCATTTTCCACTGCTGCAGATGTCAAGGACACCAAGGCGGCTCAGTCGAATGAGAATCTAAGCGACTCTCAACAAGAGCCACCTAAAGGCCAAGTCTCAGAAGGGCCCATAGAGCCTTCTAATTGGAACCAGAAAACTTTGGAGACTGAAATGGACAAAGCCCAAGGTGTTACTCGGCCTGTGTTCTTTGCAAATAAGCCTGTACCTACTCCAGCTACCTTTTCCTTCAAGCTAGAGAACATAGAGGGAGGAGAAGCAATAGCAGCAGCATTTACTGCAGATAGTAATTTCAAAGCTTTCGGTGTTAGTTTGCCTCACTCAGAAAACAACCAAGGAAAAAGTCTGCCTCAGACAGACAGCAGAGAAAATAGATTAGAAGGCAATAAAGGCAGCAGCTCGTCTTACAGAGGTCCTGGGCAAAACAGAGTGGAAGGTACACGGGATAAAGGACTAGTAAATAGAGACCATTGCCAGACAATTAGTCGAGGTCCGGGGCTGGTCAAACAAGAAGACTTCCATGATAAGATAATGGGTAGAAGAGAAGACAGTCATGAGAAAATGAACAGAGGAGAAGGCAGTCGGGACAGGGCGTTGGTGAGGCCAGGAAGCAGTCGGAGTAAAGTACCAGGTAGTCCACAAGATAGCCAGGACAGTAGTGCTAGCAGCAGAGAAAGGGGACCACCTCGAAGGGCTGGTAGTCAGGAGAGAGGACCTCCTCGAAGGGCCGGAAGTAGAGAGAGAGTACCCTCCCGAAGAGCTGGGAGCAGAGAGAGGGGGCCACCTCGGGGGCCAGGCAGTCGAGAAAGGGGACTAGGAAGGCCAGATTTTGGTCATGACAGAGTTCCATTCAGGACAGAACCAGGAGATGGTGGGGACAAAATGTATCCTTATCACCGAGATGAGCCTCCAAGGGCTCCGTGGAACCATGGAGAAGAGAGAGGACATGAAGAGTTTCCATTAGATGGTGCTCCAATTGAGCGAGAAAGACTCGATGACTGGGATAGAGAGAAATACTGGAGAGAGTGTGAACGTGACTATCAAGATGATACACTAGATCCATACAACAGAGAGGACAGGTTCTCAGCACCACAGTCTCGGTCTCATGATGGAGACAGGCGAGGCCCTTGGTGGGATGACTGGGAAAGAGATCAGGACATGGATGAGGGTTATGGTAGGGAAATAGATAGGGACTTAGACCGAGACGAGGATCGGATTAGAAGACCCATGGATATATATGATAGAAATGTGGATAATGAGTGGGACAGAGATTATGGGAGACCACTGGATGAACAAGAATCACAGTTTCGTGAACGGGATATTCCATCTCTTCCGCCTTTGCCACCCCTCCCACCTCTTCCACCTTTGGATAGATACCGGGATGATAGATGGAGAGAAGAAAGAAATCGAGACCATGGGTATGACCGAGATTTCCGTGATAGGGGTGAGTTGAGGATTCGAGAGTATCCAGAAAGAGGAGATTCATGGCGGGAAAAGAGAGATTATGTTCCTGACAGAATGGACTGGGAAAGAGAACGGTTATCAGACAGATGGTACCCATCTGATGTGGATAGACATTCCCCCATGGCGGAACATATGCCATCCTCACATCATTCCTCTGAAATGATGGGGTCCGATGCAAACTTAGACTCTGACCAAGGCCTTGGAGGGGTAATGGTTCTCAGTCAGAGGCAGCACGAAATCATTTTGAAAGCTGCACAGGAATTGAAAATGCTTCGGTAAGTTCACTCCTTAAGATCGTTTCTTCTAGCTCAAACATTTTCATACTGTCTTTTTTTTTTTTTTTAATGAAGTGTTTTTAATGGTACTCTTCTGAACTTTAGTTCTTATCACTTTAAATTTATATTTCTGGTTATTCATTGCTGTTTGGGGATTGGGATGGGTACTTGGAAACTGTTAATTATACAGTGTGCTCTAGGATGTACAAATTGACTGCTTGCTGTTCTTGGCCTTTGTAGATGTGTTTCTGGCATGCTTTGAGTGTGTGTGCTTTGAGTGTTAAATATCAACCTTTCAGGACTCTGGGTTTCACAGGGCTTGCATATTGAGCCTTCGTTGTTTTCAGTAGGCAGTTGGTTCTTTGGTATTGGATCTGACAGGCATCATAGTCCCCAGCCTAGTCTTTGATGTGTTGGTGGAAGGTGCTTTATTTTTCTCTGCTGGTGTTAAGAATGGTTTACCTGGGAGTGTCTTCAGATTTGTCTGACTACTGATACTTTGTTTTGGGGATGTTCATCTTTCATTTTACCTGGAAACAGGTATTTCTTCCTGTATTTTCATTGGGTAGTTGGATTTTTTTTTTTTTTTTTTTTTTTTTTACTTACAATCAATTTGTGGGTTTTATATAATGTTCCTCATATAGTTGCGGTAGTAAGGTTTTTTTGTTTTTGTTTTCCAAACAGGTTTTTGAGAAAATAAATGGTTAAGTTTTGATAGATTCTAATGTGTTTGTTTCATCTTTCTTTCTGGTCTACATTTGCGAATCATATTAATTGAATTTGTAACGGAAACATTAGTACTAGAAAAATGTGATAACAAAACATAACTGTAGGTAAAAATGAAAGATAATGTTCCAGATGGCAAATGGTTTCTTTGATCTATAGAAAAGTTTGAGACAGTCTTTTTTTCTAGGTTACTCATAAACATGATATAAGGCTTGCTCTAGAACATTTAGCTACTTGCTTCTAAATTGTGGGCACTTTTAATTCACACTTATTCTGTGCTGGGCACTGCACTGGTCCTCCCATCTTAAATAACCTTATCTGTCTAAAGACTTGCAGAGAAAATTATATCATTCTCATTTCACAGATAACACTAAGACTTGCTGAGATTCACTTGGCTATTAAATGCAGACCCAGAATTTGAACTCTGACTCTAAAATCTATGCTTTTATGGCAAACAAAAACTGATTGGTTACTAAATTTGCAATTTCTTTCCTTTCCTTACTTAACATTACCTTTTCATGCATTGTTGCTTTGCATAGAATTGCCAGATGAAAGGTGCTGCTTATTCATCTTTTTTTTCCTTCAACCTTTTCCTAAGCAACAAAACCTGATCTAAATATATGGAGTAATGGATACTAATGATTGTAATCAATAATACAAATGTTATAGTATGCCTTTATAAAGACAAGGAATACCATAAGCAATATTTACATGAGCCAGTAACAGCCTTATATACCTTGTGTCCATTTGAGTGACAATATTGTATCTAAAGAGAGATTGTAAAAATTCTAGAGAGGTTGTAGTAGACATTGTAAACATAGAAGGTAGGAATTGTAAGGAAAAATAAAGGGACTTTAGCAAGGGAGTAAAATAAACAGTATAAATGAATCTTTAGGAATACAAAGTACTATTTCTAAGAATATAGACTGGCGAATGTTTCACTCTCTAAAGCAGATAGTAAACTAAAATGCTCTTAAGAGTCAGCAAGTGGGGCTGGAGAGATGGCTTAGTAGTTGAGGTTAAGAGTACTGACTTCCCTTCCAAAGGAGCAAGTTTCGATTCCTAACACCCTCATGGCAGCTAACAACTGTCTGTAGCTCCAGTCCCAAAGGGATCCAACACCCTCTTCTGACCTCCACGGGCACTGCATGAACATGCAGGCAAAACACTAATATACAAAATAAGAATAAACAATGTAAAACATTTTTTTTTAAGAGACAAGTAAAAAAAATGAATGACAATGGACGAGGTAGAACTCTGGAGTGTGGTGAGGATTTTGGTGAACTGCTTCATCTAACATGGTCAGCCATGGTTCCACATAGCTAGTTATTGGTTTGGGAGCATATAGGCCTAATAGGAAACAGAACTCTTTAGAAACTCAATTTCTATGTAAAGTATTCCCTTTGTAAATACTGACAATAATGTAAATAATGAGAGGCAAGTGTGGTGGTACATACCTGTAATCCCAGTGCTTGGGAAGTGGAGGCAAAGGAATGATGAGCTCAAAATTTGCTTGACCAGTTTGAGCCCAGTGTGGAGTACTTGAGACTGTTTCACACCCCCATCTCTCAAACAAAACAGGCCTCCTACAAAAGCCTAAAAACACCTTCCTAGACTGTATTTTACTCACAGTGTGTTTTGTGACTTTTAAGGTATTAAAAAAAAAAAAAAAGTTAGCAAAAGAAAACTTGGGGCTGATGAAAGGAGAGACATGATGGGTAGGCAGGGTGTGCTACAGAGGCAGGCTGTAGAGTCTGTCTTTGAAGATCATTGATAATTTATGATTGTCGTAGTTCTCAGAGGGCTGATGGGTTAGTTCTGTAAAAGCAAACACATGTTACCACAGAGGTGCAGTATGGACTCCGCACAGAGTTTTAAGATAAAGTTTTTTGCTGTTTTTCTTTCTTGTATTTTTAAAAGTTGGTTTTAATCATGGTTGTTTAGGGATGGCTTAAATAAATATGCTTTAAGTACAGTGGCAGTTTCATTTGTTTACAGAGAGCAGAAAGAACAGCTTCAGAAGTTGAAAGACTTTGGGGCTGAGCCACAGATGTCTGACCATCCACCACCCCAGGACTCAAGACTACAGAATGCATCAAGACCTGGGATATATCCGGTATGGGAAAATGTGTGCTCAGAAAAATGAATTTTTTTTTTACCTCATATGTTTATATGTTGTTGGATTTTTAAAATTGCAATAAGTGTAATTTTCCACTGTAAAAAACAGAAATTTTAGAAAGGTGAAAGCTTTGAACATCTTTCAAAGTAGTTAGACATATGCAAAAATTGCTCCTTTCCCTAGGCTTTGTGGTAAATAGATCAAGCACCCCGTGCTACGTGGCTTCATGTTCACTTGATTCAATCTTTAGTGCCCCCACGTTTCAAGTACAAGGGTTTGATGGCAAAATAGTCTGCCAAGCTAGGAACCTGAGTTTGACTGAAGGGTTTTCCTAATCCTTGTGTGTTTGTGTGTTTTTTATAATGTGTCTATGCTTGTGGCGGTAGTGCTTCCTGTGTATGTGCAAGGTTGGAGAGTAGAGATCAACTTGAGTTCTCTTCCTCTGTCTTACCCAACTTTTTTTCCCCCTAGATTGTCTGAGTAGCCAGAATCTACCTGCCTTCACTTCCCCAAACTGTAGTTATTATATATTCATACTACTGTGCCCACTTTTTACTTGAATTGTCTAGAATCTGAACTCAGGTCCTTCTGCTTGCACAATATTTAATCTTTTGATTTCAGATAGTCCTATGCCCTATCTAGGTAGGGCTAGATGTGTACTCATAGGGTTCTCTTCCCATTTAGATGAGAGAAGGTCTCTTATCGTTATATCTTGGTACACAGTGCCCTTCAAGTAGTACCAAAGAATTAAAGTAGCCTTTAATTCTAACACTTGGGAGGCAGAGGCAGGTGACCACCTGTGTATTTCAGGCCAGCCTCTACTACATAGTGTGAGAGCCTGTCTCAAAGAAAAAAGTTGAATGATTAAGTTCTCCTGTTGCTTTTTTTTCTCCCCTTACATTGTTTGTTATTTCACCTTTAAGTTGGTGGTGACCTACTTTTTAAAATGGCATTTATATATTTTGTGTGTTTGGGGGTGGGGTGCATGCTCTAGTGCCCATGGAAAAATCAGAAGATGGCGTTTTAGAGTCAGTTCCTTTCCTTCTACCATGTGAATCCCCAAGGATCAAACTCGGGTTATTAGCTTGGCAGCAGGTAGCATCTTGCCAGGCCTTGTACTTTAAAAATGTTGGGGTTTGCAGGGGAGTACCATACTGAGGACTGAGTCCAGTCTGTGGCTCCCAGAGTGTCACTCATATAGGCAAGTGATCTACCACTGAGCTACATCCCCAGCCCTTACTACTTTTTAATTTATTGCTGTTACTAGATTTGCTTATTATATGTATGAATATTTTGTCTATGTGTGTATTTGCACCATGAACTTACCTGGTGCCCATGAAGGTCAGAAGAGGGTGTCAGATACCCTGGGACTGGAGGTAAAGATACAGATGGTTGTGAGCCTCCATATGAGTTCTAAAATCAAGCCTGGTTCTCTGTAAGAGTAGCAGGTGCTCATAGCTACTGAGCCAACTCTTCAGCCCCAGTGTTTAGTAACTATTGAAATAACAAATTACATCACATCACAAACGTTCTCTGATACTCTTGTATTTTGGGCAGTGCTGCCTACCCTCTACTCCACTTTAGGCAGTACTAATATGTAGAGTCTAGGGATTAAACTCGGGGCCTCAGGCTTGGAGGCAGGCGCCTCTACCATCTTGCCATCCTCCAAATGACATTTTTGTTTTGTTTTTTCTAGTCAGGGTTTCTTTGAATATCCCTGACTGTCATGGAGCTAGCTCTGTAGACCAGGCTGGCTTTGAACTTACAGAGATCCATCCACCTCTGCCTCCTGAGGGCTGGGACTGAAGGTGTGTACTACCACCACTTAGCCCAACATTTTTTCTTTTTCTTTAAATAGGCTTTCACTCTGTAGCCATGACAGGTCAGAACTCACTGCATAGACTAGGCTGAAAATCCATGGAAATCTGCCTGCCTCTGCCTCCAGAGTACTGGAATCAAAGGCATGTGTCACCACACCTGGCCTTCCAAATATTTTTTAAAACAAAGCCTTACCATGCTGCTCCCTAGTTTATAATAGCTGAGGATGAAACTCAGTTGGTAGAGTGCCTGCCTAATAAGCAGGAAGCCCTAGGCTCAGTCTCTAGTACCACATAGAACCAGGCACATACCTGTAACCCCAGCAATTGGGAGGGAGAGGCAGGAGAATCAGGAATTATAGAGCCATCTTCTACTCCATAGTAGCTACAAGGACAACCTGTGCTTTATAAGACCTTGACTAGAAGGAAATATCATTAGTATTTTCTGATCACTCTCAGGACAAAAATCTACTTTCTAGTATTTTTCCTGTACGAGCCTGACCTCTGCTGACTACAGCCTGCTATACCATGTTCTTCCAGTACAGGGAGCCCTTCAGTTCTGAGAATACCACAGTTTTCTTCCATTTGGAGACACCCTTGCCACATGCACATTGTTCTCTGTGCCCCTGTCATCTGGCTGATTATTGTTTATTTTTTAGAACTCAACTCTCTCATTTCCCCCCACACACATCTAACAGTGGTCTCCATCAGCATTTAGCATACTGTTTGTTTATTCTCGTCTTATAGTGGGCCCCATCAGCATTCGTCATACTGTACTTGATTTGTCAGTTTTCCATTCTAAATTGAGCTCCTAGGATAAAAACCACCTTTCATCTTCATGTCTTGTTGTAAGAGGTTGAAGCTCTAGATCAGTGGTTCTCAACCTGTGGGTCGAAACCTCATTGGGGATTACATCAGATATCCTGCATATCAGATATTTATATTACTATTCATAACAGTAACAGAGTTACAGTTATGAAGTAGCAGTGAAAATAATTTTATGATTGGGGGGTCATCACTACATGAGTAACTGTACTAAAGGGTGGAAACATTAGGAAGCTTCAGAACCACTGTTTTAGATTATAGATCCACATTCCTGTTTTGTTCATCTGACAAACAAGCTTTCCAGTATTGCTGTATGTATTGTTTTGATGCACAGTAATTTATTGAACTGTTCTATGTTGGATATTTTCTTTTAATCTTTCACTATTATTAACAAATTTCTTTGTATCAGGTTTTTATTTTAGATATCCTAAATTCCGAAAGTGTGAAACAAGCCAAAAATAAGACATTCTTAGCCTGACAGTGGTGGCACATGTCTTTAATCTCAACACTCAGGAGGCAGAGGCAGGTGGATCTCTGTGAGACGGTCAACACCACACAGAGAAACCCTGTCTTGAAAAAGCAAACAAAGACATTCTTTCTGCTCAAATAATGTTGCTTTTTAAATCTATACCTACCAGACATAATTGTCTCATATTTATTAATAGAATTAAGTCTTGACCTAACAAATAAATAATAAAGGCATTTAAAACTTATATTTTTGTTTATTTGTTTGTTGTCTTTTTGAGACGGGGTTTCTGTGTAGCAGCCTTAACTGTCCTGGAACTCCCTCTGTAGACCAGGCTAGCCTTGAACTCACACAGATCTGCCTGCTTCTACCTCCTGAGTTCTAGGATTAAAGTCATGTGCCACTTACCTCCCAGTTTAAAACTTATTCTTAATACATTCAGACAACTCCCTTATATGGTTGTATAACATCTACACCATAATCAGCACACATTTTTAAAAGATTTTTTTTTTTTCTTTCAGAGACAGAGTTTCTCTGTGTAGCTTTGGAGCCTGTCCTAGCACTTGCTCTTTTTTTGTTTTTAAAGTGTATGTGCATGTCTGTGTGAATATGTGTCATGTGTTATATGGGTGCTCGAGGCCAGAGAGAGCTTTCATTGGATCCCCTGGAACTGGACTTATGGACAGTTGTGAGCTGCCCAGTGAGGGTGCTGAGAACAAAATCCAGGTCCTCTGGAAGAGCAGTGAGTGCTCTTAACTTCTGAGTCACCTCCCCAGCCTCCTTGTACACATTGTTGGTAACTAGTAACATTATACTGGTGAATGTTGGCATCAGCCACACATGCCTTTAATCCCAGTATTTGGGAGGCAGAGACAGGCAGCTCTCAAAGTTTGAAGCCACCCATGGTTATACAAAGAACCCCTATCTTGAAAACCAGCAGAGTTGTCTTTCCATCCCCTGGTGATATCTTTTACTTTAAAAAAATTTTTTTGAAGCTGTGTGGTGGTGGCACACTCCTTTAATCCCAGCACTCCAGAGGAAGAGACAGGCAGATCTCCAACCTGGTCTACAGAGTGAGTTCTAGACAGTTAGGACTACACAGAGAAACCCTATCCAGGGCAGGGGGTGGGAGGAGATGAGACAGAATTTCAGTATGTAGTCTTAGCTGTCCTGGAACTCAGAGATCTTCTTTAAGTGTTGGCATTAACAGCATAGTCCACAATGGAGAGAGAGAGAGAGAGAGAGAGAGAGAGAGAGAGAGAGAGAGAGAGAGAGAGGGAGGGAGGGAGGGAGGGAGGGAGGGAGGGAGAGAGAGAGAGAGAGAGAGAGAGAGGAGAGAGGAGAGAGAGCGTGCACTTGGTGGGAGGGGTGCGCTTGTGTGCACGCTTTTGAATTATGTATAAGTGTGAGGTAGATATGTGCAGAGGACCAGACCAGAGTTCTTGGGTTCTCCTAGAGCTGGAGTTACAGATGGTCTGCTCAGCATGGGTATGAGGAAATGAACTTGTGTCCTCTATAAGAGCAATGAGTGACCTTAACCACTGAGCCATCTCCCCAGTGCCTACTAGTGTCTTTAAAAACAAAAAAGTTTTACATTTTAAATATATCTTGTATATTAATTTTTTAATTGATTGAGAACTAGATTTTAATTTCTACCCATCAGTGACAATGTATGTGGTGACTAGCTTCTAAACCATTTACTCTGTTCTTTAGCTCCCAGGATCCTATAGACCACGCCCTCCTATGGGTAAGCCACCAGGGTCAGTTGTAAGACCCTCTGCTCCACCAGCAAGATCATCTGTTCCTATGACTAGGCCACCTGTGCCAATACCGCCACCTCCTCCTCCGCCTCCGCCACCACCTCCTCCTCCAGTTATAAAGCGAAAACCTTCGTCTATGAAACAGGAACGCTGGGACGAAGATTCTTTCTATGGGCTCTGGGATACAAATGCTGATCAAGGACTGAATTCAGAATTTAAGTCAGACACTGCAGCAATTCAGTCTGCTCCAGTATTACCACCCCCACCTGTTCATCCTTCCATTCCACCCCCTGGCGCAGTGCCTCTGGGTATGCCACCAATGTCCAAACCACCACCGATGCAGCATACAGTTGACTATGGCCATGGCCGAGGTACGTATTGATAGTGAATCTATGGTTGGGGTTTTACAGGAATTGTTTGCTGGGGTTCTTAGTGATTTTGTTTTTTGTGAGAGAGGATCTCTTAGCCAAGTCTGTTTTCAAACTCACTGTGTAGCAGAGAATTTCTGTCCTAGTTAGGGTTACTGTTGTTGTGATGAAACACCATGACTGAAAAGCAAGTTGGAGAGGAAAAGTTTATTTGGCTGACACTTCCACATTGCAGTCCATTATTGAAGGAAGCCAGAACGGGAACTCAAGGATGGGAGAGACCTGGAGGCAGGAACTGATGCAGGGACCATGGAGGGGTGCTGCTTACTACTGGCTTACTCTTCATGGCTTGCTCAGCCTGCCTGCCTGCCCCCCCCCCCTTGGATTTCTCCACACAGGGTTTCTCTGTATAGCTTTGTAGACCAGGCTGGCCATGAACACCAAGATCCGCTTGGCTCTGCCTCCAGAGTGCTGTGATTAAAGGTGTGTGCCACCACCGGCCCTCTCTTACAGAACCTAGGACCACCTATCCAATGAAGCACCACCCACAATGGGCTGGACTCTTCTCCATGAATCACTAATTAAGGAAATGCCTTATAGCTGGATCTTAGGGGGCATTTTCTCATTTGAGGATCCCTCCTTTCAGATGACTCTAGTTTGTGTCAAGGTTACGTAAAACCAGCCAGCAAAATGACTTTAAACTCCTGCTCCTAACCTCCCAAGTTCTGGGATTATAGTGTATACCAGTGCACCTGGCAGGAATTGGTTTTCTGGAGAAGGAATTATATGTCTTTGGAGACACTGTCTGGCCCTGGAACTCATTTATGAAGTCCATACTTACCGAGAAAGCTCTGGATCCTCCTACCTCAGCCTCCTGAGTGTGGATTAAAGGCGTACACTACCATGCCAGATTTCTACAGGAATTATTAACCTGAGGTTTGGTTTCCTTAAGCTTCATTCTTATATTGCATCCCTGGTTTTCTTTGCCAGATATGCCTACTAATAAAGTTGAACAGATACCATATGGAGAAAGAATAACTCTACGCCCAGATCCATTACCTGAAAGGTCAACTTTTGATGCAGGTAGGATTCCCAGAGAGATTAATAATTCTAAGCTTAACTTTAAGCCTAATTATTACAAGAGTTTCCTCCTTAGCAAGATTAGGCTTTCCTTTAACATTACTAAAAGATTCTTAAGTTTGAGGCATTGATTTATGCTACTTCTGAAGTTAAAGTTATACTTCTTGCTTTTAGTTCTAAAGACACTTACAGTTCTTACTTTGTGCTGTTTTTATAGACCATTCAGGCCAGCGTGATCGCTGTGATAGAGACAGAGACCGTGAACCTTATTTTGACCGTCAAAGTAATATAGCAGATCATCGAGACTTTAAAAGGGACCGAGAGACACATCGAGATAGAGACCGAGATCGTGTTCTTGACTATGAGCGGGATCGATTTGACAGAGAACGCAGACCCCGAGATGACAGGTATACTGTGAAAAATGTCTTTGCTATGTATGTAAAATATCTTGTGTAAATTCAGTAAAAAGCCAGGGCCTTGTTGGTTTTCTTGGTGAGTTTTTTTTTTTTTTTTTTTTTTTTTTTTTTTTTTTTTTTCTCCTTTGAGATAGGTTCTCTCTACTATGTAACTCTTACTTTCCTAGACATTGCTGTGAAGACCAGGCTGTCTTCAAGCTCACAGAGATGCACCTGCCTCTGTCTCTTGAATGCTGGGATTAAAGGGATATGCCACCATGCCTGGCCCAAAGTCAGTATGTCAAGCAGATTTAGTGAATCTCACTAAAGAAAGATCAATTTCTAGGCAAGTACATGCTTGAGTTCTGGTAGCTTGAACTCCAGAGAATTAAATGGGAAATAAGGAGAGACAAAAGGAAAGTCAGTAAACTTTTGGGTTTTTTTGGGGTTTCTTCTTGTTGTTTTGTTTTGAAGATAGGATTTCTTTGTAGCCCTGGCTATCCGGGAACTTGTTCTGTAGATCAGAGTCTTGAACTCACAGAGACCTGCCTGCCTTTGCCTTCTTGAGTGCTGGGATTAAATACATGCACCACCAGGACCAGCACAATATTTTTGATAAAATGCAACCAGTAATTAATTTATAGGCAAGCAATTTATTTTTACAATTCTTGAGATTTTCAGGTACATATAAGTGAAAAGGCAAGTTTATGGAATAACTGCTGTTGGGTGGATAATGATGTTATTGTACATTAGAGACCTTCCAAATATTTACATGTTTACCAAAAACTCTTGTCACAACCTATAGGAACCAGTCATATCGAGACAAAAAAGACCATTCCTCATCCAGAAGAGGAGGATTTGATAGGCCGTCCTATGACCGGAAGTCTGACAGACCACCCTATGAAGGCCCATCCATGTTTGGAGGTAGAGTAATGCCTTAATAACAAGAACTATGTTGAAAATGTAAACAAATAGAAGGTGTTTTTTTATTGTAGCTATGGGTTTAAACACTCATAATAAACCATACTTGAAGATTCCTTAAGAGATGGTAACATTATAAAAAATAGAAATGTAATTAATGAAATAAAATTTAATTTTTATACTATTAAAGGAGTTTTGAAAAACAGTTATTTATAATCCCACCACATATCATACTGCAACTTCAATTTTATGTCTGTCTCTTTTTAAAATTATTATTTTTTTATTTGCATATATGTGGGTGTACCATATGTATGTCTGGTGCCCAGGGAGCCCTTGGAAGTGGAGTTGCAGACTGTTGTAAGTCACCATGTGGGAAATAGAATTGAACCTTGGTCCTCTGAAAGCCCTCATTGTCTCTTCATACTTATTTATGAAGTTTTAATGGAGAATAAGCCAGTTTGCTAGGCATCAAATCCAAAACTGGGCAAGTGCTACATATGCTAAGTTCAATCTCTACCCCAAGTAAAGTTGTCTTTATTGTGTTTCTTCTACTTAATAACTGCATCATATACATTTTCTTATATTCAAACCTCCTAATGGCTCCATTGTTTCATGGAATTGAGAAAATATAAGGTACTTACTGTTAGACATTGAATTTGCTTTTATCTTCATTACCTTGAGTTGCACTTAAACTAGAAGAAATTTCTACCATTCACAGGAATAAACTTTCCTAATTGATGATTCTTGCTCTCAAACTATAAAGTGAAAAAGTCATAGAACCTATACAGGATAAGTCATGCTTGGGTTATCCTCTATGTCCTGTTGCTGAATGTTTTCCTATATTTAATATGAATAATGATGAATTCAGTGTTTTACAGAACAATCTGTTTTCCCAAATGTGCCAGTCTTTTCATTTTCTCAATTTTAGTAAATTTATATATTAATTAAATTTAAAAGTGACCCTCAACTCATTAGACCTGATCTGAATTATAATTAGGAAGAGACTAGAAAGTAATAACATTTCACAATAATTACTGTGAAATTATGTATTCAACTGCTGGAATTCAGGAGAAAGAAGAACTTACCCAGAGGAGCGAATGCCCCTGCCAGCCCCTTCCCTGGGCCACCAGCCACCTCCAGCTCCACGGGTGGAGAAGAAGCCTGAGTCTAAGAACGTGGACGACATTCTGAAACCCCCGGGCCGGGACAGCAGGCCTGAAAGAGTGAGTGAGATGAACTTTCTAGCAAATGTTGTAAATCTAAAAAGGGTAAGAGGGTATAAAAGAGATCTTTTATAAACTTACTTATTTAATTAGTTCTTTTTAAATATCTTGAGTAGAATTTTCCCAGTTTTTCCCAACTTAAAAATACTGAATTCAAAGCCTCATAGCATCTGAAATCAAATAACCTCAGACTCTGCCTACACTCTAAAACCCTAAAGAAGTTTAGAGCCAGATTTCTTGGCAAAAATAATGTTGGAAATTTTTTTAAAAAGCCGCTTGTGAGAACTTAATTGTATTTTAAAAAGAGAAAAAGTAAGTTTGGCACAAAAAGAGGGAGAATTAGGAGACTTTTAGGTTTAATTTCTGATATATTCTCTCTCATCTCTGATATATTTTATATATATGCTTTGAAATTTAATATTGAATAATTTATAATAAAGATTTCATTCACATATCTGTATTCCATTCACATATCTGTATTCCATGTTATAGATTAATAGGTCATTGTTTTTATTAGCATTTTTGCCTGTGTGTATGTAGTGCACTGTATGTGTGCCTGATGCCCACAGAGGTCAGAAGAGGGAGTCAGATTCCCTGGGACTGGAATTACAAATGGTTGTGTGCAAGCTTGTGGGTGCTAAGAGCAAATCCAGGTCCTGTGCAAGAGCAAGTGCCCCTAACTGCCAAATGCTCTCTCCAGCCCTCTCTTTGCCTACTCTCAATCTGTACCTATCCTGTATATCCTGCCGTTGTTGTTTGAATGATACAGTAGTCCACCATCTTTTCTGTAGTTGCACTTTGTGCAGATCTGCTTATGTGAAGTCAGCAGTGATGCAATAATTGTAATTAAAATATTAAAATTGATGCCAAATATGGTGATACATACCTTTAAACTTAGCACTCAGGAGGCAAAGGCCGGCAAATCTCTATGAGTTTGAAGTTAGCCTGTTCTACATAAGACACTGACTTAAAGAAAAAAGAAAAATTCCAGAAATAATTTTACAAATTTAAAATCATGTGTAGTTTTTATCAGCATGATGAAATCTTGCATTTGAGTCATCCCTAGCTGTGTCCACACTTCTCACCTGTTGGTCACTTAGTAACTGTCTTGGTTGTCAGGTGAAAAGAAATATCAAGGTATTGTGTTATTTGACCAGGCTGGCCTCAAACTCACAGAGATCGGCCTGCCTCTGCCTCCCCAGGTGCTGGTATTACAGGCGTGCACTCAGCTGTGGACTTATAGATGCAGGTTGAGGAAGTTTCCTTCTATTTCTCCTTTGTTGAATATTATTTCTTACAGAGGGTTTTTAAGTTTTGTTCATGTTTAACTCTTTCTTTTTTTAACATTAGTAGAGATGATTTATGATTTCTGCTTTTAGTATATTGGCATAATTTAATACAGAAATTGATTTTCATGGCAGTTGGTGCTACTAGAACAATTTTTTTTTTTTTTTTTATGTTGCTGGGTCTGGTTTGAAGATCATTACATCTACATTCATAGTAGATGTCATAGTTTTCTTGTCGTGTCTTTGCCTACTTTTGATATGAGTGATGTTGGCCTCATAATATAAGTTTACAATTACTCCTGGCCTTCGGAAGAATTGGTATTATTTAAATACTTAAGTGATAGAGTCTTCTAGGCCTAGGCTTTTCTTTGTTAGTACTTTTTAATGTATTATTATTATTTTATATGCATGGATATTCTGCCTGTATGTCTGTGCCACTTGCGTGCCTAGTGCCTATAAGGCTCAAAGAGAACATCAGATCCCCTGCAGCTGAGATACAAGAGGCTCTCCCCTGCAGCTGAGATACAAGAGGTTGTGAGCCACCATGTGGGTGTTGAGAATCAAACCTGGGTCCTCTGGAAAAGCAGCCAGTGCCCTTAACAGCTGAGCCATTGCTCTAGCTGGCGTTTCTTTGTTCATCTGTTTACCAATTTGCTGTATTTTTCTGAGACTGTTCATATTCACATAGTCTATTTTTCTTTTCTTTTGTTTTCATTGAGATAGGGTCTCAAAGTATAAGCTAGCCTCAAACTTGCTATGTAATCAAGAGTGACCTTAGGACCTTGAACTTCTGATCTTCCTGCCTCCCCACCTCTCAAAGGCTAGCATTCATTCAAGGTATGTCTCCCTCATGCCAGCTTGTATTCATTCATTTTTTTTTTTAAAGTCAGGGTCTCACTGTATATCTGTATAGAAGCCAGGCTAACTTCACAGAGATGCACCTGCCTCTGTCTCCCTTGTGCTCAATTAAGGATGTATAATCTCTTCGCGTTTCTGTAATATTGCTAATGATAGCTCCATTTTTTTATTATAGTAATTTGAATATTGTTTTTCTTAGTCGAGGTAAAAGATTATCAATTTTGTTTTTTTGCTTCCTTGTTTGTTTGTTTGTTTGTTTGTTTGTTTGTTTTCCAGAGGACCAGCTTTTGGTTTTATAGATTTGGGCAGGGTGTGTGTGTGTGTGTGTGTGTGTGTGTGTGTGTGTGTGTGTGCATGCTCATGGGTGCATACACTGTTTTTTGTTAGAAAATGACTTATCTATTGACATAATGACTGGGTTTTTTGTAAGGAAAATATGTTTATTTATCCCATGGTGTAGGAGATGAAAGAATGCAGCATCAGAATTTGCTTGCCTATGGTGAGGGCTTTCTTGTTGCATCAAAACATGGAGGATGAATCATGGTGGAAACATGTGTGAAACAGGAACCCAGAGAGATTCAAGGTTCAGGCTTAAAATTTTTTTAAAAATTGATTGATTGATTTATTGATTGATCAATTGATCGATTGGTTGTGTGCACAGTGTATACATGTACACATGCATGTGTGCACATGAGAAGAGGGCACCAGATCTCATAGAAGATTGTGAGCCACCATGTGGGTGCTGGGAATTGAACTCAGGACCTCTGGAAGAACAGCCAGTGCTCTTAACCTCTGGGCCATCTCTCCAGCACCAGGCTTACAATTTATACCATTCTACTATCAAGAAAAGTGTTCAGGATCCCTCAACAATAACCCCAAGTAACCTAATTAACTTTTCGTTAATCTCCACCTGATAAAAACTCCATCATCTCCACTGTGCCAGACTGGAGATAAAGTTTTTAGCGCCTGTACTATTGAGGAACACATCAGCCGTATTCAAGCCCTAAAGTTTTCCTGATTTTCTTTTCCCTATTTCATTAGTATCTGCTCTAATCTTTGTTGTCTTCCTTCTGTTTCATTAGTTTTAGCTTGCTCTTTTCCTAGTGTTTTAGGTAGAAAAGTAGGTTTTCAATGTTATCTTTTTTTAATGTTTTAAAATATTTTATTTAATTTTGTGTGATGAGGTTTTTTTTTTTTTTCTGTCTGCACGTATATATGCATACCACATGTGGGCTTGGTGCCCACAGAGGTCAGAAGAGGATGTTGGATCCCCTGACCCCCTGGGACTGGAGTTATTACCAGACAGTTGTGAGCCAGCATGTGGGTGCTGGGAACTGAAAGCGGTGCTCTTACCTGCTGAGCCACTCCTCAGATTGCAGAAATATGTTTTAAAGAGAGTTATTGTTTTTTCTTTAAGTACTAGCTGAGTGTACCAGCAAATCTAAAATCTCTCCAGCCCTAAATCTTCTTTGATATAGACATCTACACCTAAAACTTCCCTTCAAACATTTGTTTAGTTTTATTCCATGGTATGATGTGTCTTTAGTTTCATTCTTGTTGCAATATTTTCTAATGGGGGGGGGTGGACTTGGCTTTTAAAAAGTTGGTTCCACATACATATTCATTTCCTTTGTTGTGTTTTGTTTTGCTTTGTCTGTCTTGAGACAAGGTCCCGGGTACAGCAGGCTAGTATTTGAGTCCCTGTGCATCCAAGGATGACCTTGTTCTTCTGACCTTTTTCCTCTACCACCTGAGTGCTGGGATTGTAGCCATTTGCACAATGCTGGCATGGCACTCAGGACTTTCCAAATGCTAAGCAAGCATACAGAAACTGAGCCAATTGAGCTACCTTCCCAACCTCACACAAAACAACCCTCTCCCATTGTGTTTCAGATTGTTGTTATAATGAGAGGATTGCCTGGCAGTGGAAAGACACATGTTGCAAAACTTATTCGGGTGAGTATGGGAAAGCAAAAAAAAAAAAAAAAAAAAAAAATGAGTTGCTTGTATTAGTGGGCAGCAAACATACAGGTATGTCCCATTTGATCAGTTATAGATGCCATTGATCCTTAGTAGATGCTTCCCTAATAAGTCTTTCATTCACTTAGACAAATAATTTTTCCCCTGATTGATTTAAAACCATTGGAAATTTTAATTTTATTAGCCACAAGTAGGAACTTTAGTGTGTTTGTCAACTTGATTCACTTTTTTTTAATCTTCTTGACTTTTATTCTTAGGATAAGGAAGTAGAATTTGGAGGACCTGCACCCAGGGTTTTAAGTCTAGATGATTATTTCATCACTGAAGTAGAAAAAGAAGAAAAAGATCCAGATTCTGGAAAGAAAGTGAAAAAGAAGGTATGATACCTAGACCTGTTGATAGAATTTCAAAGAAAATGAATTCAGGGAGAGATGGGATTATTAGGTTTTTTTGTTTGTTTGTTTGTTTGTTTGCTTGTTTTGTTTTATTTTTTGAGGCAGAGTGTTATGATGTAGCCCTGGCTGGCCTGGAATTTGCCAGGTAGACCAGGTTGGCCTTGAACTCACAAAGATATGCCTGTCTCACCTGCTAGGATTCAAGGTGGGCACCACCATGCCTGGCTTGAGATGAAGGTTTTTTTGAATATGACCACTTCCTGTTTCTGGACACCAGCTTTGGTACTTAGGGGTGAAGGATGCAAAGTCATCCTGTCTCGGTGTTAACCAGGCTGAGTCTGATTCCTTCCTCCTGCTAACCCCATTTCTCTGTGATCTTAGGTGATGGAATATGAATATGAAGCTGAGATGGAGGAGACGTACCGCACCAGCATGTTCAAAACGTTCAAAAAGACTCTGGATGATGGATTTTTCCCTTTCATCATTCTGGATGCTATCAATGACAGAGTTAGACATTTTGACCAGTTTTGGAGTGCAGCAAAAACCAAGGGTTTTGAGGTATGGTCTTAAAGAACTTTTGAAGCACTTTTTAGCTTGAGTTTTCTATTTCTTGGCCTACTCATTATTTATTTCTGTTTAGGTATATTTGGCTGAAATGAGTGCCGATAACCAGACTTGTGGCAAGAGAAATATTCATGGAAGAAAGCTTAAAGAAATAAATAAGGTGATTTTTCAGTAGCATGGGTGCTGGAGATCCCAAACATCATTCTTTCAGCATCAGCACTGTGTCTTAAGGTTACTCACCTCAGTTTTTCTTTCTGCATTTCTTTTCTACCTGCTTCAATAAATGTTTTCCTTTCTGTATTTTAACTGGAAGGAGTTGCCTAGCTCTTCTTGGAACCAGCCTTTTCAAGTTGTAGCATTAATTGCATTTATCTTGACAGCTTACTTGGTCTTTATAGGAATAATTGTCTGAGATAACTTGTCCTGAATATCTCAATAGATGGCTGATCATTGGGAAACTGCACCTCGACACATGATGCGTCTAGACATCCGTTCCTTGCTACAAGATGCTGCAATTGAAGAAGTAAGTGGGTATCTTTGCCTCAAATGCAGTTAAGATTAAGCAATACGTTCTTCACCTTCTTTACTTTGAAAGTTTTAAACTTCCAGAAAAGCTACATGAGCAATGTAATGATCTTAATGAATCTGATTGTTAATATTTTCCCACATTTTTCTTTATAAATACTTAGTAACATTATAATACCATTACTGTACAACTATATGAAAATTAAGTTGAAAAATCTTAGTTCATCACCCCTAAATATGTTGATGGCTATCTTCTAAGAACAAGGACATTCTCTAATTTAGTTAATTATAAAATTATAACATTAGCCAGGCTGATGACACATACCTTTAATCTCAGTACTTGGGAGGCAGGGGTAAGGAGATTTCTGTGAGTTCTAGGTTAGTCTGGTCTATGGAATGATTTTCAGGATAGTCAGATCTATATAGAGAGACCCTGTCTCAAAAAAATAAGAAAAAGGGCTTGAGAGATGGTTTAGAGCACTGGCTGCTCTTCCAGGGGTCCTGAGTTCAATTCCCAGTAACCACATGGTGGCTCACAGCCTTCTGGAATAAGATCTGATGCCCTCCTCTGGCCTGTAGACATACATGCAGTCGAACACTTAAATACATAATAAATAAATAAATCTTTAAAAAAAAAAGAAGAAGAAAAATGTTAATTTTGATAAGTAAAATACATTTCCTAAATTAAGTTTTTTGTTTGTATTTTAATTTATTTTATCTACCTTCCCCATTAGGCCATACCCCATAGCCAGCTCCTTAATTCAGCCTCCAAATTTCCTTGAGTTAGCTTAAAAATAGTGTATATTTAGAGTTCATCACCTGTCCTGATGGTGTACTTTATAGCACCTTTTTGTGTGGGATGAAACCAGACCACTGTATGGCCCTGGCTGGCCTGGAACTCTTTTATAGATAAGACTGGCCTTGAAGTCACAGAGAAGACATGTACCATCATGCCCAGCTTTTATAACCTTTTATAATTGGGAAAATGATTCACTCAGTAAAGTGCTTGTCATGAAAGCATGTGACCTGAACTTTGATTCTCAAAACTCATATAAACACAGAATACATTGTCCCTTGCCTGTAATCCCAGTACTTTGGAGGGGGAGATAAGAGAGATCCCTGGGAGCTGGGTAGTGGTGGGGAACACTTTTAATCGAGAGGCAAGTGGATCTGTCTGATTTCAAGGCCTTCCTGGTCCACAGAACTAGTTTCAGAACAGCTAGGGCTGTTACACAGAGAAACCTTGTCTTGAGAGGACAAAAAAGAGAGAGATCCCTGGGGCTCATGGCTAACCAGTCTAAATTGGTGAGCTCTAGGTTCAATGAGAAACCCTATCTCAGAAAGTAAGGTGGCATTTACCTTTAATTCTAGTACTTTTGGATTGTGTTCCATGACAAAAAAAAATAAAAAAGTAGAGAACTATAATGAGGGAGACACCTTCTGTAAACTTTGACCTACATACACACACACGCACGCACGCACGCACGCACGCATCTTACAAACTTTGAAGCATACACACTTAATGCCTGTGGTTTATTTATTTATTTATCTATTTTTATTTTTAATATTGTAGGGCCTGAAGAGATGACTCAGTAGCTAAGAGCACTGCTCTTCTAGAGTAGTACACAGGTTCAATTCCCAGTACCCATGTAGTGGCTTACAACTATCTGTAACTCTAATCCTAGGGGATCCTATACCCTCTTCTGGTCTTCTCAGTCACTATAAACAGACATATATGTGGGTAAATCACACATACACATAAAATAAAAGTAAAGAAAGAAAATCCAGATTCAGACTTACATTATCAAAGGTAATTTCTCAGGCTACATAAAAAACAGAATTTTTATGTATATAGACCAGTTGTAGTGTTGAGTGCCCATAAGTTTGTGTTGTCTGTTTCCATTAGTTTAGGTTAAATTAAATAGCAGGCAGGGCTGAGTGGGTAGAGGACTTAACTCCTACAAATTGTTCTCGGATACCCTGCTGTGTGCCAGAGCATTGAGCACATGTCTATTTTCACACACAAGTGAATGAATGAATGTGTATAAAAACAAAACTTTGCAGGAATGCTGCATGAATTACATGTTCTCGTGCCTCGAATTGTGTTCACATCATTTGAGATGTCAGTTTACCTCATTGTGATTTAGGCATTGGTCTAAACCTTGGCACTAGGGTAATATCTATTGAGTTTTTCTCCTTTTTACAATTTTTAATAATCTATACATATCTATTAATTTCTTTTTCTCCAACACATTTTCACTCATTGCTAACTCTTTATTTTGTTTTATTTATTCCACTTTGTGTGCATCAGTATTTTGTATGGGTGTCTGGTCCCCTGGGACTGGACTTACAGACAGTTGTGAGCTATCATGTGGGTGCTGGGAATCAAACCTGGGTCCTCTAGAAGAGCAGTCAGTGCTCATAATCTCTCCAGCCCCCGTTGCTAACTCTTGGTGGTAGTTACTAGTCTGGAGGAAGAAAATCTTTATCATGAAAGGAGAGTGAATTTCTGCCTCAATCATTTGTGTATTTCTGTTTTGTTTGACCTTGTTCTTTGAATGGTGCTGTTTTTAATGTGTGTGATTCTGAGGTTTGAGAGCAGACATTATCCTGTTGCCCAAGTTTAAAGCCACACGTGATAGAATTGATCATGCCACCTTCTAAAAACATACTCTTATTTTCCTGGCTTTCATGAGTCCATATTCTGGCTTTCCAGTTTTCTCAGCATGGTTTCTTTTCTGACTTAGCCTTTCCAGACCTTAAGAAATCAATTAGGGCTCTGTCCTTAGCTCAGTTATTTGTTTTTTTTTTTTTTTTTTCCTAGCCCTGGCTGTCCTATAGACAAGATCCACCTGCCTCTGCCTCCCAAATGCTGGAATTAAAGGCGTGTGCCACCATTGCCCAGCCTTAGCTCAGTTTTTCCTTTGCACAGGTAAACAATCTGTTTCTGAGATTACCAGTTTTATGCCCATGCTAGTTTCCTAGATTGCCTCTTGTGTACCTTATAAACACTGGCATGTGTTATATCACTACCTTAAAAGTAACAGTTTTGATGAGGCCAGAGGTGCTTTTAATCCCAGTGCTTGGGAGGGAGAGGCAGGTAGATCTCTGTGAATTTGAGGCTAGCCTGGTCTATGTAGCTAGATCCTGTCCAAAAAAAGCTAACAGTATGAATGGGGTGCTTTATATTCTTTCTGTGATGATTTTTCTGAAGTCCCGCAAGACATGCCTTGTTAGTGTAGCTAGAACCCCTGGTTGTACTTCTCTTCTAGTATCCTCTGTCTCGTTAAGAGGAACCACCATGTTGGAAACACTAATCTGCTCTTCCTTATACGAGCTCTGATGGTTTCCCACAGGCATGTTAGTTATGTTCCTCTATGCTTTTACCTTCTAAGTACATCTCACATCTCTGTACCCTCATATTTGTATTTGTGCCCCTCCCCTTTCTCTTACTTTGATATTTGATTAGATAAATACTTGTTACAAGTTTTTAAAAGTCTGTAACATCTTGAGTATTAAAAACAGGTGACCCATCTACTTGGAGTAAAATATTTTGCCTAACTTTACAGGGATAAAGATGAAAATTCCAGGAACATCTTTCTGTGGTCTTTCAGTCCCATGTCAAAGTTCAGGGTGTTAGGATTCACTGGTATGTGATAGAGGGAAGCCTGGGCTGCCTTGTGCTTATTGCAGAGCCTAGTGAGTCAACCTTCCTTAAATGCTAATGCAGTCCTTTTTAAAAAATTATTGTTGGCATATTGTAGGTAGAGATGGAAGATTTCGATGCAAACATTGAAGAACAGAAGGAAGAAAAGAAAGATGCAGAAGAAGAGGAAAGCGAACTGGTAGGAGACAGACCATCCACTTTGAGCAAAGTGTCTCTTTGTTATTCTTAAGGAGCGTTTATATTCAGATCTGTAGTTAGATTAGTGTTGATACACTCTTTACAGTAAAAGTTTCCTCTTCATGGAGACATTAGATCCTTTTTATTTTAACCTAGCCCCCAAAAAAGCTCTGTGTTGTTAAAAAGAAAACTTTAGCAGAGTACTAAGAAACTCATCTTTGTACTCATCTAGCCGTGGGTGGTTGTAAGAGACTATACTTTTCAAAAAAGTAAATTACATATGAAAGGGCATTTTTTTCCATTCCAGAAGGTATGTGGTGTAGCCTATCTGTTATGTGCATACTTGTCTCTTTGCTATAAGATCTCAAAATTGAGTTCTGTCACCTGAAGCAGAAGAACTTATTGAATGAAGAGGCAAAGGGCTGCCACTGCCTGCTGGATTTGTTCTTGTTTTGTCTTGTTAAGTGATGGCAAAAATGACTGTGTAGGCAATGGATTTTTAACCAAGGCTGATGAGAAAATAATGTGAGATGAAATTCTGTGTACCTCCTGTAAATGCTTTTGATTTTGCCTCTGGTGATGTTTGCCTTACCCTGTCACTCAAGAAATGAAACCTATACAGTTACTGACGTTTTAGTGTTGGCTAATGAGGTACAGAGATTAACAATGCCTTTGGATAGTATTGCTTTTTAAATCCACAGTTTTACTTGCTTTATTTGATATTTCAGCTCTTGCTAAAGTTGCTTCTCATACTTCTCTAGATGAAAATGTACAGAGATTCCTGATTCCTCTCCCTTAAAACATAGTCTACAAGGAGTGTGTGACAGAAGACTCTTGATAGAATCTGTGTTTATATAGCATTGGTGTTGACCTCTACATTCCTAGTTTTTTAAAATGTGTATTAAAAAATAAGCTTTAAAGTTAATGGTAATTGAGTCTCAGTATGTTTTTTAATAGTCTTATTTTGATTAATCAGGTTGTATTTTGACATACATACTCTAAAATGTGAGCAGGAAATTTATTTACCTAAAGGCCCACACTGTTCTGGATAACAGTTAATAACCTCTAGTAGCCTATACTAGAAAGTGAGTATGAGAAATTCATAGCATTAATTAGCTTTGGGAAGCTCCATCTTTTGTGGTAGTTTTATTTCAGGATGTGCTTTCTCTCACTTGCTTAAATGTAGTCAACTTGGAGCTTTTACTTAATGCAGTTACTTTTTTAAGGAGAAGTACATTGTGACAATAGTTTTACCTCAGAGAACTGGTAAAGAAGCCTTACAATTCTACTCTGCTGGACTGTTTTATTTTCATGTGGCCTGCCACTTTAAGAAGCTAAAGGATGACAGTTTAAAGGATCACCAGGATGGCTCCCAGTAGGGGGAAATGAATGTACTTTCTTACTTTACTCTAAGTACCCAGTCACATAGCAGAATCCAGCTCTTTTACTCTTGGAATCTATCCCAAGGGTAAAAGATTCCTGGAGAATACTAACCAAGATGATGAGTGAGTTTTGTGTCATTAAGACCACTTTAAGAGAATTCTCAGCAAACTTTGCATTTTCAGATCTGTACTGGATGAAATCCAAACTTTCCTTAGGTAAAAGAATCTGTAGGGATTGTTGGTGAGATAGACTCCTGCCTTTAGCGCCTCTGCAAACCTAGTACATGTGATTCAGAGTCTATAAGTATGCTATTCTAGTGATGCTTGTGGTTTTAGGTGGTTTTGGAGGTAACACTTGTGCACATTTTCTCAGTATTTAACCCTTAACACCACCACATCAGCACAGCTTTTTCTTGATCTAAGTGTTTTTCGAAAAGATGATGTAGTTTATAATCTGAAATACTACCTAGTAATTCCTAGTGCTGATAGACGAGTAATGTATAAATGCAAAGATCTCCTGGAGTACAACGCTCAGGTGAACTCTCCTGTAGAGATTGTTACAGTGTCTCCAATGTGTTTCCAGTGCAGCTGTGTGGCAGTCTGCTCTATGACCTTGAACATTCTCAACAGCAGAGAGATGACTCTTAAAAGTCAAATACCTTCAATGAGTTTGTCCGGTTCACTAGGTCCTAATTAAAATTAACATTTCTGTATAATGGGATCTAATCATAACCACAGTCCAAATAAAGGAAAAGGGGCATCGTGATTAATGACATGGATTAAACTGACTAGGGGAATAAACAAAAGGGATTGCTACATAGTTGTAGGCACCCTGGGACATTGGAAGATATTTGGGGAATTTGTTTAAAATAAATTACTCAGTTATCTTATGTAAGCTGTAAATTGCCTGTGGTAATTTCTGGTTTATCACATAATAAGAAAACATACTATTAGAAGCTATCAAAAAAATAATTCATTTTCATCTGCTGAAAGAGAACTCTGCTCTGAAGTCGATTCAATAAAATTAGCCTTTGTAAGATCTAACTGGCACACGGATTGAGTCATTTTCAAATGAGTGTGAACTTGATAATGGGGCAGTTGGGTTCAAACACCAGTTTTCCTTTCCAAGTACTTAAAATGACACTGCAGTGACTATCTTGAAGAACACTTTTGGACATCATGGCTTCAATTACTTGAGAATAGCAGTTGTACTTAGAAAGTAAACTAGCTAGTCTATAAATTTTCTAAGTGGTACTGATGCTGGCTCAGTAACTATTTGTACATTCTACCATAATTGCTGCACATCTGGTGCTGAGGCTACAGTTGAGTCCTTAGCTGTACCTGCCTCAAAGTGCCTTCATGATCCTGTCATGATGACTGCTCTGAAATGTGCAATCATGCTTGGTGAATTTGGTCACTTAACTTTCTTCAAGGATAATATTTTGTATTTCCCTAGGATATATTTATAACTAGTGAGTGGCAACTGAATCCATTCCCAGTTTTAATGCTTTTCCAATTCAAACGTGTTATGCATGTATGTGTCTCTTTCTAACCCTTCGAGCTTCTCTCTGTGTACGATTTAGGGTTACATTCCGAAAAGCAAATGGGAGATGGACACTTCTGAGGCAAAGCTAGGTGGGTATTTCCTTTTTCCTGTTTTTATATGTGATACCTGATGGTCATGGTCTTAGAGTGCTCCACTACATGGAGTAAAGGGCCAGAAACTTCTGCTCACATCCTCAGTCATTTCACTAGCTTTTGCCTTGGCTACTTAGATCTGTGACAGAGTAAAAAGATATATATATATATTTTTTTTACAAAAAAATTTGATATCATTGGAAGCTTTTAGGATAATTAGAAATATTTAATAAGCATAGTAACATACTATCACTTCTAACATTTATTTTTAGTATTAATTAGAAATGTGCTCCTAATATTTCTTTTTTAAAAAATATTTGCCTGTAACCAAAAGTTGAACTTGTTTGTGAGTACTTTAATAATAATTCTAATAAATACTAGGGTTTAAAAAGCAATTAAAAAGAAGATATCTTGTGTAATAAATTTGAGTTTCTATGTTTTGAAGTAAATACATAATTGAAATATTTAAGGAAACTCCATTTAAATTTTCCTGTATGCTGTTTTATTTAGTACCAAGTTACCAGGTAAACTGGTTTGAATGATTGCTTAACCTTAGAGTTGCCTGATTTAGTCAAGTAAAAAAAAAAAAAAAATGTATGTATTAAGTGGATTCCTTAGGTATTTTAGTGTGATACTGTTAGGTGATTTTTTTTTTTCAGTCTTTTTCTTTTCACTTAAAGAGACTAATTTAATATGTCAATTAAGGTGCGTCAGTAGAAATTAAAGGAACCATGCAGGACTACTGATTAGGAAAGGGGACTCCCAGTTTTTCTTCCCATGATGTAGGAAAGGGGACTCCCAGTTTTTCTTCCCATGATGTATTGTTACTCTAGAACCAAGCAACCATCTCAGCATATCCTAAGTCCTAAAGTCTTATTTTGGCTACTCAGCATTTTTGCTGATGAAGTCATGTGACCTTTACATCAAAGGGGAGTAAATTGGCTCACTTGGGTTAAAGATAGCAGTTGATTTTGACTAGGTTGTATCTTAAAAGGTTCACAAACTCTAGTATTGTGGGAAACTGTATTATGGGAATAGGTGCTTACTATAAAATCTAAAAAAAATTTAGCATGTGTCAAGTGAAAATTGTTTGCGGTTTATTGTCATATTCGCCTACAAATCTTTCCTCTGAGAAACTTAACAGTAATCAGCTCTCTCCCCACATATACCATAAGCACATTTTTGCTTAAATGTAGTCAAATATTTAAGGAAATAGTAACCACAGCTTTCATTTTTAAAAGAATGATGTCGGGAAAAAAAAGAATGAAGCTTTGCCTCTTTTGAATTAGGTTGACCCCGTTTGAAGTGCTGTACTTTTAAATACCCTGTGAGACTAGAAGATCATTTGTTTCTGCTGATACTTTAGTGATGAACTTCAGTGTCAAAGAGTGATCATAAAAATAAGGGCATCGTAAGAGTGATGCATATTTTAGCAAATATTCTTCTGGGGTGTTATGTAATACATAATCTAGGATTGTGCTTCTTAAAAATGAGCCATTTCATTTTCTATTTTCCTTTCTAGTTTTAGGGGAGAAAAGAAAATGGAATATAGCCATGATGATTGTTCAAGAAAAATGTTACTAATGTTTGTATTGATTTCTGGGAAATATGACTTGTCTCTTACTTATTTCTCAGAAATGTGTCTTATACAGTGTATCACTTTTAAAGACATTACACAGTGAATTACAGAAGTGGATTTATCATAAATCTTTTCAGTAATGGCATTAGTAATGAATCTAGAAAGGAAAATTCACTTCTTTATAAAAGTGACAGTGAAGTTTTGTATAAGGCCCTACCTAACTTCTGACACCACTGGATTATCTTCAAAGTTAATCCAGCCTGGAAAGAAGAAACTTTCAGTGTAAGCTTTATCAAAGTGTTTACTCCTTTTGAGTGGCCTCTAACTCATGAGGATAATCTGTGAATTAACCTATTTGTGTTGCCTTTCATAGCTCATCAAATTTAATGTTTGGTTACCTGATGCAATTTACTTCTCCAAGTACTCTACCAGCATTCTTAAATTTCTCTTAGCAACATGATTATGCTGAGATGGAGGCATAACAAGCTTTATCTGTATTACATATTGACCAGAAAGAACTGAAACTGGAGCTCAGGGTTTTGATTCATAGATGAGTCTCCCAGTAAGAAAACACTTCTCTACTCTTCCAAGCAGCTGACCAGAATTCATTGCAAAGTCTTGATCTGTGCTGAATATGCGGGTCAGCCTGTGTTTGTTAAATCAATTTAAAAGTTACTGGCCTGAGCTGCATCTGGCATCCGATTGCATATGATTGACAGCTGCCTGACCAGTGTTAATTACACCCGACTCCTCTTTCTTAACTGGGAAATAGACGTGGTAATGCAAGAGCTGGGTTTTACACACATCTGCTGGGATTTAGTGCTGCACCTACTTGAGTTCCAGTGATGTTGGTTTTTAGTTTCTCACACTTGTGCGACCTAAAATATTCGAGACTGTTAGCATCCTAATAGGTTTCTTCTTACAATATGCTCTGCTTTTGTCATCCTAATGTCACTTTCTGTTCTTAGGAGCTGTATTTTAGCCTTCTACTCATTAGACAGACTGAATCATCTTTTGACAGTTGAGATGTAATTGTTATTTGTGTAGGCACATAACTCTTGTATGTTCACCTTGGACAAGTTTTCAAATACCATCTATATTTAGAAAATACATAGCTATATCTATAAAATTTTTCTGTTGTGCTATGGTAACATGCAACGTTTTAAAGATATGGTAAATTCTGTGGTTCAAAATTTCATCCTTTTAAAACATCTTTTGCAACCCAGGCCTCTAATTTGTGAGTGGGGACACCTGTCTTTCTTCTGTAACCAACACCCAGATTCCTCTTCCCTTACTTTATACCACCCAAGTATTTGGGGTTCTAGTATTCATGTGGATGAATGCCCAGCCTTTCTTCAGCACTCAAAAGAAACTTTAAACATGCTTGTACAATAAAATTTCAAATAGACGATTTCAAATAAGGGTGCTGTGACTAGAAATGCAGGCTTTGGAGCTTCAAGTTGCAAATACAGAACACATGGTCCACACCTGCTGTCATTACCTAGTGGACAAGGAAATACTCTTGCTGTTTCCACCTGCCTTTCTGTAGTGCTGCCTGGCCATGCTCTGTTGTTAGAACTGAAATGTGAAATGTTCCCTTCAGAGTATGTTCATGCAAATCAATTGTTCTAAGTTTGGAAATCCTTGAAGTTTATTTAATGAGTATGCTGGAGCTTCTTACTCTCTGGTAAGACACTGTGTGTGTAAGGTTTTGAACTAAGGTGTTTTACTACTTAGGGGATATCAAGGGTTTTCTGATACCATGTCCCTTTGTAGCCAAGGATTCTGTCTAGTGTGACCTGCCTGTAGAGCCATTTGGTACAGCATTTTATCAGCAGAATAGGTAGAAGATTGGTTCTGTGCAGCCTGTCTCAGGGAAATGTTGTTGAAACAAGATGAAACAATTTTCTAGAGTTTGTAAACAGTTGTCATTGTGTAACTGATTTTTCAGTGATAATTGCTTTTGTGAGGGAAGGGTATGAAAACTAAACCCTTTGGTAATTATGCAAAATCTTAATGGCTTCTTAAAGTTTGTATACAGTTAGTTGGGTGTGGAGTTTGTATATTAAAAAGCATAACTTCTCCCTCCTTGCCACTGCTTCCATTGCATGATCCTTATAAAACTCTTTCCAACTCGGTGCCTTAAAGATTTCTAGTGTACACATTCTGCATCCTTTTGTTATTTGTTTCTGAAGCAGTTAAGCTTTCCTTTATTAGCCCACTTTAACAATAGTGTGTTCGGATAACTTCGGGAGGTGTAAGTGCTTCACTGTAGCTCAGTTGTACATAACTCATAACACTCCACATCTTTATTCAAAATCAATATTAATGATGAATAAAAAAGACACAACACATTTTCATTGTTGTTATTTAACAACATACCAATCCATAACGTGGTGAGCCAATGTACTTTACGGTATAGTCAAAGTACCCAGTGATCAACAGTACTTTACAGTATACTCTAAGTACCAAGTCGCCAACAGTACTTTATAGTATACTCAAATAGGAGGTCTCATATATGAGTCACCTTACTCATAAATGCTAACTCACGAGCGTTCTTAGCCAAAATCGTAATCAAAAACGTATCCTTAAACACGATTTTGTTGCTATCTGATTTTCATGTGATACACTATCATACATTGTTGTAGATCAAATGAGTGGTATTAACACTGTGTTAAAGAAAAATAATAATAATTCTTTTTAAAGAGAACTGTTTTTTGTTTGTTTGTTTTGTTTTTCTTTTTAGAACATATGAGCTGAAGTGTGATTCCCCCCCCCCCCAGGGTGGGAGGGTCTTTTCTTGCCTTACCCATATTTATTGCTAAAACATCAAAATATAAATATTACCCAGTACAAATACCAAACAGGTGTGGGAATCACATAAAATTTGATATTTTCTTAGCCAAGAAGATAGTTTGGATCTGAATGATGCTGCATTGATAAATGTGGGTGTGCCCTCTGGAAACAATCTAGCCCTCCTTTTTCTTTGTGTGCTGTGTGCAAATTCACACACTTTTAATGCTGTGGCTCTGTGTTTGTCCCTCAGACAAGTTGGATGGCTTAAGGACTGGCACTAAACGTAAACGTGACTGGGAGGCGATTGCCAGCAGAATGGAGGATTACCTGCAGCTCCCTGATGACTATGAAACTCGTGCTTCTGAGCCCGGGAAGAAAAGGGTAAGAGATGCCTGAAGCATGAAGGAAGACTCATCCAAATAGCATTTGGATTTTAGAAAGTTGGGGATGGAGAAATGCCTGTCAGTAAAATGCTTGTCATGCAATTATAAGGACCCAAGTTCAGTCTCTAGCTCCCAATAAAGACAAAAAGCACTACAATTTACAGGCACATCTACTCTTTCAGCACAGATGAATCAATTTTTGAAAGTTTGTTTATTTTTATTTTATTGGTATTATTGTTAACCTACATGTATGTTAATATATGCCATATGCATGCCTGGTGCCTGCAGAGACCAGAAGGAATATCAGATCTCCTGGAAATGGAGTTACAGATTGTGTAAGTTGCCAAATACTTTTGAGATCAAATTTGGATCCTCTGGCAGCAAGTGCTCTTAACTCCTGAGTTATCTCTCTAAACCCTCTTTATATTTCTTTTAAATTAATTTTCTTAGTGCTTGACTATCAAGACAGTACTTTAGTATGAGTGAATAAAAATGGTGTCTATCGTCTCAAAGAATCCTTATTTAAAGCTCATTGATAGACTGTGGAGAAGTGAGGTATGGTGGTGCACCTTTAATCCCATCACTAAAAAGGCAGAGGCAGGTGAATTTCTGTGAGCTTGAGGCAACCTGTTCTACATAGTGAGTTGCAGGCTAGCTCTTTCTTGGAAAACCAACCAAGTTAAATTACGGAAGATACAGAGTAAACCCACTCTTGTCTGTGTAGTTTAAAGGGATTGGAAAGGGAAATCCCACTCATGCCCAGCCACATGCAGGGACTTTAAGACTGAGGCCAGCCAAAGTGAGACTGGCTCAAGCTAAGCATGGCAGTGGATCCCTGCAATCTCAGCATCTGAGGAATGAATAAAAGCAAGAAGGTTGCTCATGATTTGAGACCGGCCTGGGCTTCAGAGTGAGACCTAGTCTCATAAAACACAGAGAGCAGTTGGAGTGGCTCTCCTTGGGATATGGTTTATGAGTTACAGCTCTGTTGACAATGAATAGTTGGAAATGAGAACTGTTTTGTCTATTTTTACTCAAATAACTATGCCGTCTTCCAAGGGTAATTCTGTAGAATCACATTAGAAATGACTAGGCTTTCAAATGTCATTTGTGTTGGGGTATAACTCAGTGTTTTAGCACTTGCCTTATATGTCAGGTTCTGGGTTCAATCCCCAGTTTCACAAATAAATTAATAAAATTTCAAAAATACTATTTATGACTTCTGTTGTTAACAGAAGTTGTATTTCCTCACACATAAACTAGAAAGAACAGTTTCAAGAGGCAGTATTTAGTGCTGCTTTAAAGAATTAGAAAGTGATTAATCTTCAAGTAGTTTTACTTTCTTAGAAATATTTGAATGGCAGGTTAGAAAGATGGCTCCATGGTTAGGAAGCACTGACTGCTCTTCAGAGAACCTGAGTTCAATTCCCAGCACCCACATGGCAGCTCACACCTGTCTGTAACTCCAGTTCCCATTGATCCCACACCCTTGCCAAAACACCAGTGCACATAAAATAAATAATTTTTTAAAAAAAGATATATTTTAATGGCATGTATGAAGCACATGTACCTCAAACCTTTGAGCGTCAGTAAAAAAAATTTTCTCTATGACTTTATTTTTTTTTAACTTTTTGTCATTTTAGTCTTTTGTGTGCTATATTTATAACATTCCTAATCAACTCTCTCCAGTTCCTCCTGTGTGTACCTCTCAATTCTTCCTTAATTATTAATGTTATATACACATGTGTGTATGTGAGACAATATGCTGAGTTCATTGAGTCTCGCCTAGGTGAAGAAATATAGGCAACTATTGACTGTTAAGAGGAGAATCAATCTTCTCCAGGGATGAGAATCCTAGTGGATTATCCAATTCCAAGTGGTCATCTTTTTTTTTCCTTTACCTCAAACCTTTGAGTGTCAATAAAGATTTTTCTGTATGATTTTCTTTTCTAATTTTTTGTTTTCAATGGATCCTGACCACAGTTTCCCCTCCATGCCTCCCATCCTCCTCCATCCCACCTGCCCTCTCCCCAGATACAATTTTGTTTTATAGTTAACCCCCCCCAAAAAAAGACATGATGGTATAAATCTCAAAAGTACCTTTAAGAAAATTAGAAGGAAATTGGACGTTTAAGAAACTATTTCTAGCCAAAGTTGTTTTTCTACCTTGTAATTTATTTTTAGTATTTTCACACTAATTTATTTATTCTGAAATTTGAATGTGTAAGGTCTGTGAGTGTCTAATAATAAAAACCTACTTTAAGAGTATAACTTTTATTAGAAATATGCATGAAATACAATAGTTTCAAAGTATTAAAAATTATAGTCTTTGTCAGGCAGTGGTGGCACATGCCTTTAATCCCAGCACTCAGAAGACAGAGGCTGGCAGATCTTGGTGAGTTCGAGGTCAGCCTGGTCTACAGAGTGAGTTCAGGGCAGCCAGAGAAACCCGGACTCAAAAAACTGAAGCAGGGAAACAAAAAAATCCTAGTCATTGGCCTGCAGACGGTTCAGAGATAAAGGTGCCTGCTGCCCAGTGAGTGGTTCAAGCCTGATGACCTGGGTTTGATCCTCAGAACCCATAAAAAAAGGGGAAATGAGAAAACACATCAACTTGTCCTCTGACTTTCCACATACATGCTGTGACATGTACATGCCTGTGTGTGCATGCATGTTTTCACACAGCACTAATAATAAGGTTTTTTTTGCCTTTTTTGTTTGTTTGTTTGGTTGGTTTTTGGATTTTCAAGACGGGGTTTCTCTGTGGTTTTGGAGGCTGTCCTGGAACTAGATCTTGTAGACCAGGCTGGTCTCGAACTCATAGAGATCTGCCTCCCGAGTGCTGGGATCAAAGGTGTGCACCACCACTGCCCGGCTTGGTTTTTTGGCTTTTGTTTGTTCATTTTAGTTTGGTTTTGGGGTTTTGGAATTGTTTTACTTTTTTTTTTGTGTGTGTGTGTGTGTGTGTGTGTGTGTGTGTGTGGTTTGTTTTTTTGTTAGTAGTTTCTCAAGACAGAGTTTCTCAGTGTAACTGCTATGTCTATCCTGGAACTCTTCGAAGACTAGGCTGTCCTTGAACTCACAGAGATCCCCCTGCCTCTGCCTCTGCCTCTCAAGAGCTGGGATTAAAAGTGCCACCACAGCCAGGTTGGTTTTGGTTTTTCAAGACAAGGTTTCTCGGTGTAGCCATGACTGTTCTGAAATTCACTGTAGGCCAAGATGTCTTCAAGAAATAGACCACACCCAGCAAAAAAAGATTTTTTAAAAAAAATCAGTTATTTATGCTAAATCGGTGTTTTCTTTTTAATTTATGTCTGTGTGTCATGTATATGTGTACATTCCATAGTGTGTGTGTAGATCAGAGAACAAGTTTCTGGACTTGGTTCTGTTTCAGAGGCCATGTGCACATGGTTAGACTTCATGGCAGACACTTTTACCCACTGTCTTAGTATTTCTATTGCTGTGATAAAATAGCAGCAAAAGCAGCTTGGGGAAGAAAGGGCAGGAACATTCCTCTTACAACTCTCAGGTCACACTCCCTTAAAGCAGAAACCTGCAGAAAAAGCTCAAGCAAAAACTGTGGGGAAGCTGCTTGTTGGCGTGTTCTCCACGGCTTACTCAGCTTGCTTTCTTACACACCACAGGACCATCTGCCCAAGGCGACATCATTAATTAATCAAGAAAATGTTCCACAGACTTGCCAATAGTCAACCTGATGGAGTCATTTTCTCAGTTGAGGTTCCTTCTTTCCAAATGATTCTAGTTGTGTCAAGTTGACAAAACAACAACAAAACACTAGCCAGCATAGCCATTGCAGCGGCCACTAAAATTGTTTCTTTTTGTTGTTGTTGTTTCTCTGTGTAACAGGCTGGCCTCAAACTCACTGAGATCTGCCTGCCTCTGCCTCACAAGTGCTGGGATTAAATGTGTGCACCACCACTGACTTAAAATCAGTATTTTCTTTAAAAAATAATAAATAAGTAAATAATCCCAACCACAGTTTTCCCATCCTGCCTGCCCTCTCCCCTAGATACAATTTTTAATAATAAGTTTAATAAAATTTAGAGGCTAAACTCCAGATTAAAAAATGCAGGACTAGAGGGATGGCTCAATAGCCTAACATGTACAGGGCCCTGGGTTCCATCTCCAATAACACAAAAAAAAAAAAAAGAAGAAGAGAAACATCTTGATGAGTGTTTGAAGTTGCCAGGGAAGAGAAGAAAGCCAGATTTGTTCATTTCCACCAGTATATCTGAAAAATTTATAATTTACTTTTGTTCTCTGCCCACAAAAATCCTCATGAAATTGCTTCCACGGTGGAGCATGTTATTAGGTGCAACTGTAATCTGTATTCCCAGGCCATGGCCACTCATATTTGGCTCAAGAATAAACTATTTAAGAATTAAGTGTGGGACGAGGGAGATGGCTTAGTGGATAAAGTGCTTGCTGTACAAGTGTGAGGACCAGAGTTTAGGTCTCCAGATCAGAAGCCAGGTGGGTGTGGTGGCCTGCCTGTAATCCCAGCATATGGAAACAAGGGATCCCAGAGTAAACTGGCTAACGGTGCTAACGAACTCCTAGAGCTCTTGGTATAAGTCTGAGATTCTGCCTCAATATATAAGGTGGAGATCAATAGAGGAAGACACCAGAGATCAGCTGCTAGCCTCCACAGTCACAGGTATGTGTACACCAGTGCACATGTATGCATACATACCACAATTGTGTATACATGCATGACAAAAGTGGAAATAAAAATGAATCAAGTGTTGGGGGGCCGGAGAGATGGTCCAGTAGTTAAGAGCATTGACTATTCTTCCAGAGGACCTGGATTTAATTCCCAGCACCTACATGGCACCTCATAACTGTCTAACTCCAGCTCCAAGGCATTTAGTACCCTTACGCAGACAAAACACCAGTGCACATAAAATAAAAATACATAAATCATTAAAAAAAAAAAAAGGCTCAAGTGTTAACCAGTTTTCTCTACTACTCTATATCTTCCCTCTGACCAGATGTTAGAAGCCTAGTCATATCAGTCAGTCTTACAAATGTTAAAAAATGAAAGTCAGTGTACCTTAAAGCAATAATGTGTCTCCATGGCCAGTATAAAGAGCACAGAATTCCAATGCTCTATATTTGGGACATTATAAATCACAAACAAATGATATTTAAAGTATAGCATATTTAATTGTGGTATACGCTTTGGTACCATGTATGCAGTACAAGCAATAGTATAATCCTTAAATATTTTTGTTCCTATAGAATATGAGATACATGCATGTATTTTAACAACTTATAAATCCACCTTTTTGAAAAGAAAGTACCAATAGGGTATATTCCAGAACCCATATATCTGCAGTTGAAATCTTGCCATAATAACATTTTGAAGCAGTGGTCTCTGGTAACTTATGAATGAAAATGACATTACTAACCCCCTGGTTTTTCTCTGATTCAATTTCAAGAAATAGCTGTTGGGCAGAGATAAAGCTTAAGTTGTTTAAAGTTCACATATGTGTTTCTATAAATGGGTAGTCATCCTGCAATATGGAAATTTGAAAGTAGGTATGTTAAGCTCCATACAAGCCTAGGGAAGCAATGGTATGGATAAAGTGGGGAAGGATGTCTAGACAGGGCTCAGAGCTGTAACGTGAGAACTAGAAGAAAGTGTATTGCTTGTGTAAAATGCCTTTTGTGCTGGCCACAAATGCTGTGGAGCCGACAGGACACAGCAAGAGGACTTTAGTGGTAAGACTTGTCTCTTAATCATTGGGGATAAGTTTGAAACTGGTGAGCATCACAAGACGGTATTTTAAGAAGGTCACTGTGGCAGAGTTCTTTTACTTGTAATTTTAAGTCTGTTACTCTACCCACTAAACTATCCAAAGAGGGCACCTTTGGGGGTTCCCTCCCTCCTTTCAAACAACCCAGACTAATGCGTTTTTTTCTTTAGGTGAGATGGGCAGACCTAGAAGAAAAGAAGGATGCAGATAGGAAAAGGGCCATAGGTTTTGTGGTCGGACAGACTGATTGGGAGAAAATCACAGATGAAAGTGGTCACCTGGCTGAAAAAGCCCTCAATCGAACCAAATATATATGAGACTTAGTTTTTGAATGGAACCTTATTCCTCTAAGGTAAGGGTACCCAGCCACATAAATAGCTTATTTTGTGGTTGCTTCAAAAGTATAGAGGACAGCATGCTTTACTAAAAATCATTTTTCTAGTTCCGAACAAGTAAGTATATACTAGTACTAACATTTGCAATAAAGAATATTAACAAGAAAGCAGGTTTTTGTAACCTTGTAAAAGACTTAGGAAAAACGTGGGTTCTCTTGGAGAGGGTGGAGTCATGCTAGGACAGATACTGAAGTCTACTGAGCCTTCTGTGTCTCAATTCCTGGAGTGATCCCGTTTTCTTTTCTTTCCAGGTGGTTCGCTTTGAGGTGACCTGAAGCCAAGGCCTCATGAAGCTTCTTGTGTTTCTGCGTTTCAATTTTGTTTTGTTTCTACCACTTTCATTTTTAAAAGTTATCCAGTATCCCCAAGAAATTTTAGAATCTTGCTGTACCCAAGCAAGATATTAATTTTTCTTTTTAACTAATTTGGGGAGGGAGGGTTAGCTTAACTGTTGAAGTCAGGTGGGGATCCTCAGGAGGATTCCAACAGAGTATTTCCTCCACTGAACACTGTCACAGACTATCATCATTGCTTTGTGGTTGTTTTTGTTTTTTTACTGTATGTGACTGGTAGTTGATTGTACTAGGATTAAAAACAATAAACTTTAACCATAAAGCCGATGAGATTCATGGGCTGTACAGCATGGGCCCTTTTCTCTTATTTTCTTAAATTTGTTTTTATTACTATTTAAATGCAGTATGTCCCAATTACCTGCTTGCTGAACACCCCCATCCTCTTTCCTATTGAATAATTAGCACAACTGTTTATAGCACATTGTAAAATTCAAGGTTCATTAATAATCAAAATATTCAACTTTGCTTTATAGCTGATTTGTTTTTCTTCATGTCTTATTTTTCCTTAGCTGTTTTTGAATACAGGTGAACAGAACTAATATGCGCCACATCTCAAGCCGTTGCCTTACTTTGAACTTGAATTGTTGCTTTTTAAATCAGGATGGAGGGAAGGAGCGTGGAAGTGCACAGCCCTCTGGCAAGCAGCCTGTAAGCCTGCCAGCTTTCCAGGTTCTTGCCAGATTGCTCATTATTAGAAAGCTTGGTCTTCTGCATAGAATTTCATCTGTTGTGGATAATCCCAACCAGAGCCAGAAGCAAAACTAAAATCCAGATAGCATTTTCCTGTAAATATAGAAAGGGGGTCTTTCCCTTTTTTCAGTCTGAAAATTAAAGTCATTTTCTATCAGAAAGGGACATAAAGATGAACTTTCTTCCTCAAAAACCATTTCTCATTCATTAGCCAGCCCAGCAACTTGTGAATCTGTTCACTGAAGACCTCAGCATTGTGTAATGGATGGAACTCTTCTAGTTTTTTGATCTACATTAAATACTATGCCTAGAACTAATACTTCCTAACAGTTTAGGCATATCACCTTGGGTTCAATAATGGCCTTATCAGACTGAAGGCACCAATGGAAACCACAACAACTTCCTGTTCTTTAATATCTTCCTTGAAATTCAGAATGTTTAAGCCTAAAAGACTAGGTTTATTAACAAGTTAATATTGAATGTATAATTTGCTTCATTAAACTGTTTCCACTGTATTTAGTGTTTAATAAGGTATTTTGGTGGCTAAGGCCTGTCACACATTTCTACATATTGACCCTTATCAGCTACCTTTATTATACTGGAAAAGGGTATCAGGAAAGATAATCAAATAGAATTATTGTTGTGCAGACTTACTACTTCTTAGAGCAGCCTCCCCCAACCTCTTCCCCACCCCCACCCCCACCCCCTCACCCCAGTCACCAAAGTAAAACCTGTAAAGCATATTCCCTGCTTGAGAAGAATGGAAGGCTCTTTGTTCTTCAGTTACACTTAACCTTTTGGTAGCATTTGAAAGACCCATGAGATGAATGGTGGTTACCTGTAAATCACAGGTCTCAATATTGCAGAAGCTAGAGGGAAAGTTAACAGCATCAGCCATGGCCTGTGCCAGTTTTCAGAAATAATTAGGCAGCCATAGGGATAAACATAGAGTTGCCTGGTTTAGGAACTGGGTATAACAAATAACCTCCGTGTAAAGACAGTCATGAAAAGATAAGGAACCGGAAAGCAGTAAAAGAGATACCTATTAATATTTGAATCTTTCAGACCAATAGGAAGCTGTTGTGAAATCCTTAAGCTTTTATTATCACCAGAAGCAACCAAATAGAAACTCCACCAGTGGTATCTTGGGAAAATTTAGGTTGTGTAAACATTCTTTAATAAGGGAAATCAAGTTACAGTAGCAAACCTAGCATCCATGCATTTGCCAGTATTTTTAAGCTCTATTAATGATGTCTTTCTTATTTCAGAAAGCAATTAGGTATGCTTTTGCATTTGTAATTAAATAATATTACTTTAATGCATTATGGTTTCTTGTATCTTGATACAAAATAGTCTATAGTCTGATGGTAGAAAAATGTTTCAGCTATTTTAAGCCATCTGTAACATTTTTCATTTCAGGGATTCCTGTTCAAGGAATTTGGTAGATAAGGTATTGAAGATTTCCCATTTGAGAATCATCTATTTAAAATCAAAATGGAATATTTCTAATATTCTAGTGGCTTCTTGCAGCAATCATAAGATGCCAGCAATATGCACAAGCTGGTCTTTTTATGACTCCTCTCTCACCCTGCAATGCTGGGGGGGGGGGGTCAGTCCCAGAGTCTCATGTGTGAGGGACAAGTATTTAACCAAGCAAGGTTTGGTTATTATTCTTAGCCGTAAAATTTACTTTTGACCCATACAGTTTTTCTAACAGCATTTGGTCCAGATATTAGTGAATAACCCAGAAAAAAGTTATTAAATTTTCTGGCTGGATTTATTTCTCTTATGGCAGAAAGAGCAAATCAAAGAAGAGATACCAGCCCATCCAGAGTAAAACTATACATTTCTAATTGGATTGACTAATTTCCTTCCCCCCCCCCCCTCTTATTTTTTTCAAGACAGGGTTTCTCTGTGTAGCTTTGGAATCTTTGGAATTTATCCTGGAACTGGCTCTTGTAGACCAGGTTGTTCTTGAACTCAGAGATCGCCTGCCTCTGCCTCCCAAGAGCTGGGATTGAAGGCACGGGCCACCACCACCCAGCTGTTTTACCCTGATAACTGCAAGTTACATATACTTGTTAATGGGCATCTAGAGCCTGGCTTAGTTGCCAGGACTGTACAAGCAACAAGGTCTCAGATACAAGCAGACCACATTGCTGTTAATTGAATTTAATAGAATTTTAATTGAAGTGTTTTGGCAGGCCAGAGGAGAATGATTTCTTGTTTTTGTTTTGAACTCTAACTCCTCTCTCAGAACCTGTGTGACCTCAAGTGACTTTCTGAACCTGTCTGAGCACCAGTTCCCTCATCTGTAGAGATTAAAATAATAGAAACACCCGTTGGCATAGTATGGGTTGTAGTGAAAACACACCTCAGAGTTGTTTTGAGGTTAAATCGGGATAATACATGCTGCTGCTCTCATAGTACTGGCCACATAAAAGTTAAAAAATCAGTAATAAGTTACTCCTTAACTTATTCCCATATGCTTTTGGAACTCAGTTTCCAACTGTCCTGAAGATAGTACTTGCTGCTGCCTTATGTAGTCAGCTGCTGTAGATGGAACTGAGCCATGTGAAGTAGCCCAGTGTGTGGGGATGTGAAAGAATGTTCATTTCAAAGCATTCTCGGGACGCTGGTGGCCCCTGTCTTCAGGACCAGCATGGAGGCTTGAGAGGCTTGAGCAAAAGCTGATTAGATCCCCTACAAGAGCAGGAGTCATGCCATCATGGAATTGCCAGACTACAGGCTTGAACAAAGCATTGCATACTCAAACAAAATCATGATGTTTTGTGACTATATTGTTACATTCTCATGGTATAAAATTGGAAAGGGTCAAGAATGTCTATATTAAAGTCACTGCCATCTGTCCCCCTCAGGTTCCCACTGCTCCACCTGTAAGCAGCATTAAAACTTTTGTGCTTTTTAAGAAAAACTTGTGGGCTGTAGAGATGGCTCAGTGGTTATAAGCACTGACTTCTCTTCCAGAGTACTTGCATTCAGTTCCCAGTGCCCACACTGCCATCTCATAACCGTAACTTCAAGATCTGACACCCTCTGTGTACACAGACATACATGCAGGCAAAACACATAAAATACTTTTTTTTTTTTTTTTAAATAGTGGGTTGGCTTTAAGTATTAACTTTGCTAATGGCCTTTGTGTACTACTTTGCATTCCTTTTAAGGGTGTGCCTTAGTGGTCATTCAAATCATACATAAATATTTCATTCTCTCTCTTTAGTTTTCCAAAGGTAACCTTTTATTATAAAGGGTGTTTTCTGAAAGCTTTAAGAATTGGTTTTAACTATATTACTGTTCTCTTCATGGCATTAAGCCTATGGTACAGTTGTTAGATGGTTTTATCATGTGTAGGTTTGAATAGAGTCCCTTCTGCATTTCTGATTTGAAGCAACCATCATTCTATTTTCCATTTGTATAGTATTGTCACTGAAAGGATGCTATACATGTGAAATACATTATATAGTCTTTTGGGACTAGTGTTTAGCTTTTGTCATTTGGCATAGTTCCTTTGGGACTCATTTAAATTGTCATGTATATAAGTTATTTGTTCCTTTTTATTGCTGACTAGCATGAGATCCCTTTCTTGTGACTGTATCATATAGTCTATACATCATTACAAAAATTTACTTACAAGGACTCTTGCTGTGGTTTGCTGTTATAAATTGTGAATTTCCTATATACTCAATCCCTCTGCCTTCCTACACCTACCTAATTTCTAGCAATGAAGGAACAATATCAATGGTATCCTTTGCACCTCAAAGGGTGATACTCACAAGTATGGCACAGTGGTGAACTGCTATCAAGAAGTCATGACTATAATGAGGTGACAACGGCAGACTTTTTCCTAGAGAACCCTTCATGATTGAATTGTGATAAAGCAAGGAATCGGGGTATACCATGGAGGACCAGAATGATCCATCCTTGATTTGAGAGTTGAGACCATAGGCAACTGTCCTTGGGGCCTGGATGTTTATAAGCACCTGTACCTCAAGGAGTGAAGCTGCCAGTTCTGTGGTCCATTGCTTTCACATCTGACCAAAAATCAGGAGCCCTGCTGCAGTGATGGATGGCATTCCAGCAGTACTTTGCATTCGGGACTCCACAGGGAACCTGGAAACTTAATGCTTTTATGATGTAGGTAAAGCTTAACTTTTGAGTCTTCCACTTAAGAAATTTGAATTTCCTGCCAAATATCCATACTCTTGTTTTTGATAGTAAACCATGAATAGAAATAATCCCTCCTGTTGTCATATAAAGTCCCACTCAGGTCTATTATTTTGGTGAGATTCTACTTCCTGACTAGGAGTAATATTTGTAAAATATTCTTGTCCCCCTTCTCTTCCCCCATCTCTCTCCCCCTCCCTCTTCCTCTCCTTTCCTTTTCTTAGGACCTTTATGGCTTCAAGAGAAAGACAAGGAACCTCAATGATCAATAATGCCTCTCACCTTCGTCAAGAGGCGTAAGAGTCAGCAGAGGACTTTTGGTCCCTTTAACGTGTTTGTCAAAATTGTCACGAGAGTACCACAAATTAAAGATTTTTTTTAAGTAGTTTTTTTAGTTGCTGTGCTAGAGTTGAGC